TAAAATTTCATGTCATAGGTGATTTCTTAATTTTCAGAATCTGTTGAGATTTAGGAAACTAAAGAGTACACTATCAGTTGTTAGAGATTATAAAAAATCTCTCATAGTGGAGGGAAGCCAACCTGTATGGTTTTTAGGATGGAATGTTCTTAGGGGAGCAGCACAGAGCTGCATGTCCAGACATATATGCAGTAGTTTCCCGGCAGCCAAACAGTGTGTGAATCATCCTCTGAGACAATACTTAGTATTACATATCTGATTTTTTCATAGTAACTCAAGTATAATTATTTAAGTAACTTTGATATTTCTGACATTGAGAAAGGACACATTTATCTGTTTCTTATTCATAGGCATTGTATACCAAATTAGTGTGTGTGTGCTTTCTGTTGAAATATAGAATGTACCATGCATTTGTGGCTGTATTTGTCCAAGCACTTCATTGTGTTCTGTGTCCATCTAATGAATTGTCACAGCAAGTTATGTAGTTCCAGTTTAACTGGCTGATACACTGAGGCATGAAAAAAGAAGGAGACAGGAAGTATCCAGGTTCATCACAGGCAGTTGCAAATCTGATACTCACAGCTCGTGAGTAATAGTCTTGTGCTCCTCCAGTATGCCTGAATGTCTCCAGGTGTTGGATTCTGTAACCTAACTGAATGTGAAACTTAAATCATCAGGTTCAACCTCAATATGTAAAGATGACTAAGTTCGTGTTGTTGCCACTTGAGAAACAAGAACTAAATTTGCTTGATTCGAGTTCAGACCTTTGGGGTAAAACTTTGCCTAGAGCACTATATGTACTGGATAACTTTAAGGAGCCACTGCTAAATGTGTTTTTTTGTGTTCTTAATATTTTGATTGGGATCAGCAGGTGGCATAGAGGTTAAAGTGCTGGAATCCCATGTGGCCGACTATGGTAAAGTCCTGGACTCAGCATGAAAATTACACCAGGCACATGTACTTGGGTGCCCAAAATCTGAAGAGGAGAAGGATGAAGAAGGGATTGTGGCATGGCTATTCCCCCTGGGGAGTGATTTCTCACTTTCCCTCTCTATGTCTCTGTCTCTTCCCAGCGAGCACATGCGCCCTATGGCAAAAAAAGTCTTCACACACACACACACACACACACACACACAAACAGTGATCTATAATGTAACTTTTTTTTTTTGGAGAGATTTTCACTGTAGGGCGCGTGCGCTCGCCAGACAGACAGAGAGAGACATAGAGACAGAAAGCGAGAAATCACCCCCCAGGGGGGATGGTCACGCCGCAGTCCCTTCTCCTCCATTCTCCTCTCGGGATCTTGGGCACACACGCACACGCGCCCGGCGTGAGTTTTAAGCCACCGGGTCCGGGACGTGAACCGCGGTCGACTACGTGGGAGTCCAGCGACATAGCCATTACGCTAACTGCTGGTTTCCTATAGTGTAACTTCTTTGGGGGTACAATGCATCATATTCCAAAAAGAAAAATTATTAGTCAGAGGATGAGTCTTTCAGTCAATGACTCAGGACATATAAGCAAAACTCTGGGACATGTAGGTTATTTCTTCTTTAGCTATACCACTTCCTCTAATTGAGATCACCCCAGATGATTCTGAATTTGGATATAAATGAGAACAGAGAATAGATGCAATCCAGTTTTGAGTGGTATTGCCATGTACTATGAAAGTAGTAGTATGCTTCTGTAATTTCATTTTTAAAAAATAATCTGCCAATAGATGTCTCTTCCACTTCAGTTTTTGCCTCCTGCACTTAGCATCCTTTATTGATATAAGCATATGTCCATTTTTAGTACCATATGCCACAGAGGAGAAAAGGATAGATTCTCTAATGTGAGGGTCATTTTTGTTTTAATTTCATCAAACTCCTTTCTGTACTTACTTTCCATGAGATTCTGTTCTTTTATCAGATTACTCATGATTTCATGGCTTTCCCAGCGCAGGCATCTTTCACAAGTCCAGCCCTTTCCCCCCATTTTCTGTGTGTTCTAGTGTGATGCCATGAAAGATGAGAAAGCATGAAGGCTATGTTTTGGGACACACACACAGTATTAATTCAGGCATGGAAAGTCAGTCCAGCTTTGAGCTGGAGGTGAAGTAGGGCTTTTTGATGCTTCTGAGGGTCTGCGATTATCCCCCAAGGATGTCATAGCCCTAACAGATATGTCTGTTTGGCAGCTCTTGCTTAGTTAACAATGACTCAGTAATGACTGTGTGAAGATTAGTCCTGTATGGGTCATGACCTCTGGCTGCTAAGGCTAAGAGGAAAGGAAGGCTAAGAGGAATATTACTCCTCCATGATTTCATTACAGATCGCCATAAGCGTTTAGCACAACTACAGCAGTCTTCCAAGAGGAATCCTCACTACCAGACCTTGGAGCGGGATCTTATTGAATTACAGGAACAGCAGCTGTTTGAACTTTTTGTGGTGGTGTCTTTGCAGAAGAAGCCATCAGGAATAAGCTACATTCCCCAGGTCATACAACAGTTTCCTAGCAAGGTAGGTTCAAGGAGGCCAAGAGACATTCAGGAATGTCCTCTTGTCTCTGTGTGTATTTATTTCTTCTCGTTTTTTTATTACCTCAACCAGCTTTTACCTGTACTGTACTTGTAGGATCTGATAAGTGACCATGACGACATCTTGTGTTAGGGTTGAACTGCAGTCAAGGAGGAAAGTCAAAATAAGCTCATTCTTCAAATTAGTTTTTTTTATTTTGGCCCTGCCATTTAATAAGCTTTAGCAAGTTACACAGCTTTAATGATCTCATTTAAAAAAATTTTAAAGCTTAATTTAATTAATGTATTATTATTGCTTTAATTTGATGAGAGGCAAAGTGAGAAAGCAAGTCACTAGGCCCAGGTCTCAAACCGGGGTCAGCTATGTGGGAGTCCAGTGCCCAATCAATATGCCACCTGCTGACCCCAACATTTATTTATTTATGTATGTATTTTTTGTTATTCTTTTAAGCCACCCAGTCTGGGACTCAAACCACTAACCATGTGGGAATCCAGCACTGTAACCACCATGTCATCTGCTAGCCCAATTATGTCATCTTTAATGAAGGAAAAAAATAAATAAGATGGTGGTTTAGAGCATGGATTCTGAGCCAATATGCTGCATTTGCCATTAATAACTCTGTGACTTTGAACAAATAAAAACCTCTTTAGAGGCTGAGACCACAGAAGAAAGTTAACAGTTTTATGTTTTATTTTAAATTTGATTTTTCCAGCCTTTCCAACAAGGAACCTACATTTTAATTTTGTAGTATGTTCTGAACCATGTAGCTGGGCATGGTAAGGTATGATGCCTTTTTTTCTTTAAGGACTTTGCCACAGGATGTGTGCATTTGCCTGAGAGAGACAGTGAGAGAGAAAGTGAGAAATAACCCCTCGGGAGGGTGGCCACACTGCAAGCTCCTCTTCTCTGTTCTCCTGGAATTTTGGGCATGCATGCACATACATCCGGCATGAGTTTCAAGCTGTCAGATCCAGGACTCAAACCATGGTTGGCCATACGAGAATCCAGTGTCTTAACCATTATGCCACCTGCTGGCCCCAGTAATGATCTCTTTGAATAGAGACATTTATTTGGGTGTCAATGGGGAATTGATTCCAGGATCCCCAGCAGATACCCAAATCCTCAGATACTCCAGTCCCTTGTATAAAATGGCATATGGAGTAGTTCCTGCAGTGCAGCAGTTGCACCCTGTGCAGAGGGTGCCAGATCCCACATGACCAACCCTGGTTCAAATCTTGGTCCCAGAGGCCTGAAAAATTTGTCAGGCATGTGCGCATGCTGAAGATCCTGACAAGATAGAAGAATGGAGGAAAAAATAATTGTGACATGACTAGGCCCTATTCAGAGGTTCTTTCTCTCTTTCTCTCTTTCTCTCTCTCTCAAGCATGTGCCCTCTGAGGGGTGGGAGTGGGATGTACTATTTGCATATGACCCGAGGGATTTGTTTGTTTGTTTGTTTGTTTGTTTGTTTGTTTTTTGGCGGGGGGAGTATTTTGAGAGAGAGTTTTGCTTTAGAGCACATGTGCTCACCAGAGAGACAGAGACAGAAAGCGAGAAATCACCCCCCCAGAGGGATAGCCACACTGCAGTCGCTTCTCCTCCATTCTCCTCTTGGGATTTTGGACACACACACACACACACACACACACACACACACACACCCATTGTGAGTTTTAAGCTGCTGGGTCCAGGACTCAAACCATTGTCGACTATGTGAGAGTCCAACAACATAACCGTTATGCTATCTGCTGGTCCCAGTATTCGCGTATAATCTCCACACATCCTCCTGTATGGTCTAAATCATCTCTAGATTACCTATAATATCAATACTATGTAAACAGATAACATGTTGTATTTTGTGTGTGTGTGATTTGGGTTTTTGTTTTTGTTGTTGGTTTTTTGTTTATTTTTGCTATAGGGTACATGCACCCTCTGCAGAGAGAGAGAGAGAGAAAGAGGAAACTAATAAATCACCACCCAGGGGGAACAGCCATACCACAATCTTCTCTTCTCCTTTCTCCTCTCAGGATTTTGGGGACACACACACACATGCCTGGCATGTTTCTTAAGCTGCCAGGCCCAGGACTCAAACCATGCAGCTGAGTATGTGGGATCCAGCCACCTTAACCTTTGCATTACCAGCTGACCTGCATTCTATATTATTTTTAAATTTGTATTTTTTTTATTATGGTATATTTTGTTTTGCTTTTATTCCCAAATATTTTCAATTCCCAGTTGGTTAAATTTGCAAATGTGAAACTGGTGGAAACAAAGGACTAACTTTCTAAATTATTACTCGGACCTCTTCTCTCATTTATTGTCTGCTTGGCCAATTTAGAACTTTGGTTTTGTAATCGTGAATTACATGTTTCACTAAAAAAAGCTAATGAAGCACAACTGTACTAGGATCTAAGAAATATTTCCTGCATGGGGTCTCATTTTAATAATGTCCTCTGGGCCAAAAGGTGGCATGGTGGTTAAGGCACTAGACTCCCACATGGCTCACCATAGTTTGAGTCCCAGATCCAGTGGCTTGAAACTCACACTGGGCTCGTGTGCTTGTGTGCACAGAATCCTGAGGAGAAGAGATTGCAGCATGGCCATCCCCCTCCAGGAGTGATTTTGCCCTTCCTGTCTCTGTATCTCTCTTTCTCCTCTCTGGTGAGTGTATATATCCTATGGCAAAAAAAAAAAAAAAAAAAATTAAGATAATAATTAAAAAAAGTCCTTGACAGCATCCCTGTAACAAAGAATTTCAGTATGTTTAATTATCATAAAATACCTTAATGTAGACTGGGAACATGTCACAGCACTGTTTGGTGAAACAGTAGCATAATAGTCTAATAAAATAATATAATCTAGGTAGTCCTGAGTAATCAAGTGAAGAGGAGCTTAATTTTTTGTTTGTTTGTTTTTATCATTTTTACAACTAATAGGCCATAAACCAGATAAAGATCTACTTGATTCTGGCAGTAAGTCAGGGAGATCTCTCAATAACCTACTTAGCATCTATGTACTTCAGAGAGGGAACTCTGTACTTTAGAGAGGGAAAGACTGATCTAGTTCCTTTTTGATTATTGTAGGAAACTGAGTGAAGATAATTATGAATCATTAACAATTAAAAAAAAGACATGATACAATTAAAATTTTGTTACAGTGCTTTTTTTTTTTTTTTTTTTTTTTGAGAGGTTTTTGCTATGGGGCGCATGCACTCACCAGAGAGTCAGACAGAAAGCAAGAAATCCCCCTAGGGGATGTGACCACGCTGTAGTCCCTTCTCCTCCATTCTTCTCTCGGGATTTTGGGCATGCACTCACATGTGCCTGGCATGACTTTTTTTTTCTTTTTTAAGAATTACTTTATTTAACTTTATTTATCTATTTACTCATTTATTTTAATTTGATCAGAGAGGGGCAGAGTGATAGCAAGAGCAAGAGGGAAAGTGAGAAAGCAAGCTGCCAAGTTCAGGACTTGAACCGTGGTCAGCCATGTGGGAGTCCAGTGCCCTTACCCACCACGCCACCTGCTGGACCTGCCTGGCATGAATTTTAAGCCGCCGGTCTGGGACTCCAGCTGTGATCAACTATATGGGAATTCAGCAACAATAATCATTATGCCATCTGCTGGTCCCTGCTCTTTCATTTTTAAGAGGTTATTATTCAAGTGATCCAGAATAATGTCTAATGTCTTTTTTTTCTCAAGACGGGTCCCATAGCCTAGGGGTTAAGGGAGTCAGATCCCACATGGCCAACCACACAGTACTAATCCCAGACCCTGGGGCTTGAAAAATGTGTGTGTACGTGTGCTAAAAATTCCAACAAGACAGACAAAAGAGAAGGGATTGTGGTTTGACCATGCCTCATTGGGGGTTTGCTTTCTTTCTCTCCTCCTTCTCTCTCACTGTCTCTTTTTGGCAAGGTCAAGCACCTTCTGGCAGAATTTTTTTAGAAATAAATTGAAAAGTGTGTCATTTGTATTATCTAAAAGCAATATGATAATTAAACTTAAGTATGCTTTTTTTTAAAAAAAGGTCTAAACTTAAAAAAATATTTAATTTTATTAATATTTATAAAATTTGTCATAGGGCACATGTACTCACCAGAGAGGGACACACATAGAGAAGGTGAGAAAATAAACCACTAGGTTTGGGACTTGAACCATGGTCGTCCATGTGGGAGTCCAGCACTTTAACTCTGCTACCTGCTGGCCCTGGGTGTTTGTTTTTAATAGAGGTCAGTTCATACTAATTTCTGAATGTCTTTTGGTTTAATCAAATTTAGACTGTCTTTTAGACTACAATACCAGGCAAAGACAAAAGGGTCTTTCATAGTGAAGTTAAAAAGAGAGCCACAAACTAGTAATTAGATAGCAAAGATTATATGCTAAGGGAAATAATAATATATGGGATGGATTCTAAAAATAGTGTTTTTTCTAAATAGCATGCATCTTCTTTTTCACAGTGCCTTGGAATATTATTGATCAGAGAATGTCTTGAGCTGACTAGGTTTTTGCTACCAGTGGGTTTTTATTTATCTTCCTTCCCAAAATTTATTAAAGTAGTGGGATCCCCCTAGTGTATGAATCGTGAATTACAGTTTCATATCTAGGCCCAGGCATAGTAGTGTGTGCTGGATACTGCTGCTTGGAAGGCTGAGGCCATATGGCAGGCCCAGGTTTGTTTCCTAGCTCACCCTAAAAAAACCTAGATATGGTGACTTGTACCTGTAGCTCTGGATACTCAGGAGGCTGAGGCAATGAGACCTTGTCTAAAAAAAACCACATACACATATACATACAAGTTCACATACATACAAGTTCTTACCTCTAGAATAGAAACTTTTTACATCATCTTTTCCACGCCTAAATAGCTTATAGGATCTCCACAGGTATCACATCTATGTCAAAATAGCATTCTTGACTCTTAGTGACTCTGTTTTTGCATCTTTAGTGCTTTCCAGTTTGAGCCTTCCTGTTTTAAGTATGTTTTATGTTGAGACAACTGCTCAGGCTTATTGGTGACTCTTTTCAGAAGACCAGAATAAATTTTTTATTTCTGTCCTCCACTTACAATAGAATTATAGTCACTTAAGGTGTTATCTTTCTCAGGGTGATCATGGCTATAAACAATCCAAAGACACTGAGGAGAGGCTCAAAGTTATCCCCAAATTTTGTTTTCCTGATTCAAAGGACTGGGTACCAACCTCAGAACTCAAAAGGTAAGTAGAGTACTTTATCTGATTTCTATTTGTTAGAATTACAAAAAATAGAATCAAAATATTTGAGAAATGGGTAGAGCCCAGAGTGAAGCCACTTGAACAATGTGCCAGGTCAAGGATGTAGTGGGAGGAAAGGAAGAAACAGAATTAGAACATTTCCTATGTGGGGCTCAAAAAAGAAAGACAGAATAATTTCAGTATCAAAGGGAAAAAAGTTTGAGAGTCTCTTCAGGGTGCCAGTTCTGCAGGAAAAAATAGTTCTACTTTACCTACAACCAGAAATGCCTCCAAGTGGACAAATTAAAAAAAAAAAAAAAGTAGACTTTAGAACTCTATGTAGAAACAGAGAGAAAACAGAACATCTTTGTCTTGTTTTTCCATTGGGTTGGTGGAAGAAGCTACAGTCCAGATTATTCTCTCGTGGAACTTATACAAAGGGAGGCTCTTGTTTGGGAGGTGTGGGTATAGTGAAAAGAGAAGTATTAAAGAATTTCTTTCAGGGACCTAGAGGAAATTACCAATGTTAAGTAATAAACCATCATTATTTCTGAATCCTGCTTGTAAATAGATGTGGCTTGGTTCGAAACTGTCGATGATGATAGACTGGCAAGCTTGACTAGGTGAACCATATCACATGCCAGTGAGCTGTTACCTAAGCAGCTCTGTCCTTCATCCTCATGGTGCCTCCAGACTAAACTGCTACCTCTCAGAACCATGTTGGCCTGATCACCACCCTCATCTCAGCCATCAAGGTTGATGATCTCGTATTGTCTTTTGTGCAGCTAACCAGATAAGCATTTTCTTTCATTATGGCTGGTAACTCCAAGTTTACTTCTCCCCAACAAGTTACATATTTTATTCTAGAGTATTTGGAACATATAGGAGAGTGAATAAGAAGCAGAACTGGGAATCACTGCCAGTCTAGTTACTTAGAAATAATTACTGTAGGTTTTTTGGGCATCTTTATATTTGGCCGTGTGTATGTGTATGTGTATAATTTTTCTTTTTAGAATTATTTATTTCCATTTGTTGTTGTTGTTGTTGTTATTTTAACTTGACCAGAGAGAGAAAGGGAAAGCAAGAAAGCAAGCCGCCAGGTCCGGGATCTGAACCATGATCAGTCATGTGGGAAGCCAGCACCTTTAACCAATATGCCACCTGCTGGCCCCTATATCCTGTGTTTTGTTTTGTTTTGTTTTTAAATAATTATTTCCTTTATTTTATTTATCATTATTGTTATTTATTTATTTGTTTATTTAATTTGATCCTAGCAAGACAGAGAGAGAGAGAAAGAAAGCAAGCAAGCTGCCAGGTCTGGGACTCAAACCGTGGTCAGCCATGTGGGAGTCCAGCACCTTTAACCACCATGCCACCTGCCAGCTCCAGACATAAATATTCTTTATTTGTTTTCCTGATTCAAAGGACTGGGTACCAACCTCAGAACTCAAAAGGTAAGTAGAGTACTTTATCTGATTTCTATTTGTTAGAATTACAAAAAATAGAATCAAAATATTTGAGAAATGGGTAGAGCCCAGAGTGAAGCCACTTGAACAATGTGCCAGGTCAAGGATGTAGTGGGAGGAAAGGAAGAAACAGAATTAGAACATTTCCTATGTGGGGCTCAAAAAAGAAAGACAGAATAATTTCAGTATCAAAGGGAAAAAAGTTTGAGAGTCTCTTCAGGGTGCCAGTTCTGCAGGAAAAAATAGTTCTACTTTACCTACAACCAGAAATGCCTCCAAGTGGACAAATTAAAAAAAAAAAAAAGTAGACTTTAGAACTCTATGTAGAAACAGAGAGAAAACAGAACATCTTTGTCTTGTTTTTCCATTGGGTTGGTGGAAGAAGCTACAGTCCAGATTATTCTCTCGTGGAACTTATACAAAGGGAGGCTCTTGTTTGGGAGGTGTGGGTATAGTGAAAAGAGAAGTATTAAAGAATTTCTTTCAGGGACCTAGAGGAAATTACCAATGTTAAGTAATAAACCATCATTATTTCTGAATCCTGCTTGTAAATAGATGTGGCTTGGTTCGAAACTGTCGATGATGATAGACTGGCAAGCTTGACTAGGTGAACCATATCACATGCCAGTGAGCTGTTACCTAAGCAGCTCTGTCCTTCATCCTCATGGTGCCTCCAGACTAAACTGCTACCTCTCAGAACCATGTTGGCCTGATCACCACCCTCATCTCAGCCATCAAGGTTGATGATCTCGTATTGTCTTTTGTGCAGCTAACCAGATAAGCATTTTCTTTCATTATGGCTGGTAACTCCAAGTTTACTTCTCCCCAACAAGTTACATATTTTATTCTAGAGTATTTGGAACATATAGGAGAGTGAATAAGAAGCAGAACTGGGAATCACTGCCAGTCTAGTTACTTAGAAATAATTACTGTAGGTTTTTTGGGCATCTTTATATTTGGCCGTGTGTATGTGTATGTGTATAATTTTTCTTTTTAGAATTATTTATTTCCATTTGTTGTTGTTGTTGTTGTTATTTTAACTTGACCAGAGAGAGAAAGGGAAAGCAAGAAAGCAAGCCGCCAGGTCCGGGATCTGAACCATGATCAGTCATGTGGGAAGCCAGCACCTTTAACCAATATGCCACCTGCTGGCCCCTATATCCTGTGTTTTGTTTTGTTTTGTTTTTAAATAATTATTTCCTTTATTTTATTTATCATTATTGTTATTTATTTATTTGTTTATTTAATTTGATCCTAGCAAGACAGAGAGAGAGAGAAAGAAAGCAAGCAAGCTGCCAGGTCTGGGACTCAAACCGTGGTCAGCCATGTGGGAGTCCAGCACCTTTAACCACCATGCCACCTGCCAGCTCCAGACATAAATATTCTTTATTTAAATTTGGAATTCTTGGGGCTGGCAGGTGACATGGTGATTAAGGTGCTAGATTCCTATGTGACTGACCACATTTTGCATCCTGGACCTGGCAGCTTGCTCTCTCATTTTCTTTCTCTCTGTATTTCTGATAAAATTTTAAAAAGAAGTAATAATAATAAAGTCAATAAAATAACTCTTAAAAAAGCTTAGACTTCTTTGATTATTGAATTTCTTTTTCAGGCATTTTTAGGTCTTTTTGTAAATTATCTGTACAGTCTTTTGCCCATGTTTCAAGTGAGAAGTTAATATTTTTCCATATTGATTTTTATGTGTGAAGAAAATAATTCTTTGTCAAAATGACTGCTGTTGGACCTATTTTCGGTTGTTTATTCCATGAGTAATGCTATAAGCAGTTGCTTGATCTCAATATAACTACTGACCATTCTTTCAGTGAAACATTCTCCTTTGTCTTGACTGGTGAAGATGGGAGCCGGTGGTTTGGTTACTGTAAGAAGCTCTTGGTGAGTACCAGACTTGTGTTACAGACAGGGTTGGTCAAAGAACAATAGACTTAAGACAAGGAACCTTAGAAACGTTCTCTCTAGATGAGTTTGAAGCCACCTCCATTTTCTGTGTATTCAAGATTAGCCATGTTAGCTTTAAACAGCAAGAGCAAGGGGGGGATTAACCATGGAGTGTTACACAATAGAAGCGGTGTGAATTTGTTTTATCTGTTTATTTGTAATAGAAAATTACCCTCTGACATAGTGGCTAAATATCAGTCTGCATATATTTGAGGAATGGAGAAGGAACCAGTCAAGGGAGCACTGAATCACTCACCAACCATATGAGGGCTTTCTTTGTTTATAGATCTTCCACCAAAATGGAACAAACCATGCCAGCTTTAGCACTTTACTGTACTTTATCACTTTTCCTGTCTTTCATTGCTCATTGAGGATGAGAGCCTTGGTGCCTGCTCTGTGCCAAACAGTATCAAAAGCATGTTAATAGTCCAAGTTAGTTAATACTTGTTCTGCCATTTTTTTTTTCCTTTTAGCCAGAAGGCAAGGGAAAGCGACTCCCTGAAGTATACTGTATGGTTAGTCGGCTAGGCTGCTTCAATCTCTTTTCAAAGGTGAGTAGAGAGGGTGCTATGAAAGTGGTATTCTCTCTGAGCTCTGAGGAGTTTTTGTTGCTGATGATTTCACTAGGCACTGCTAAGTGCACAGGCTTTCACATACTACTTTAAGAAAGGTTCCCTTTGGAGCCCACTGGTGACATCATGGATCCCACATGGCTGACCGAACAGTTCAGTCCCATACCTGTGGCTTGAGAACCATGCTGCGCATGTGCACATGTGTGCCCAAAATCCCAACAGGAAAAAGGAGGAGAAAGAATTGCAGCATGGCTATCCCTTCTGGAGGGTGCTTTTTCACTTTCTTTTTCTCGTTCTCTTTCTCTTTCTCTCTCTCTTTCTCTCTTTCACTCTCTCTCTGGTGACCACACATACCCTATAGCAGATTTTAAAAAGTTTAAAAAAGGTTCCTCACTTATAGATTAGGAACCACAAACTCGAATGCTTAAACTTAGAGCTGTGACCCAGCTGCTGTTGCTCTATCATCCTTACTTTGGCTTGTTAAAACTCCCAGTGAAAGGAGGGAACCAGCAGTTAGCGTAATGGCTATGTCGCTGGACTCCCACGTAGTCGACCGCAGTTCGTGTCCCGGACCCGGTGGCTTAAAACTCACGCCGGGCACGTGTGCGTGTGTGCCCAAGATCCCAAGAGGAGAATGGAGGAGAAGGGATTGCGGCGTGACCATCCCCCCTGGGGGGTGATTTCTCGCTTTCTGTCTCTATGTCTCTCTCTGTCTGTCTGGCGAGCGCACGCGCCCTACAGTGAAAATCTCTCCAAAAAAAAAAAAAAAAAAAAAACTCCCAGTGAAAGGAGAACACAGTTCAAAGCTTATCTTGTCTTATGTCTTTCCTAGACTCCAATTGTAGGATATCCATGTCATTGTTGCTTTCTTCCCCTTTACCTCAATGAAATAAAAAGGAGCTCATTTTCTAGCAATAAATTCATTTGTTAGTGGTTTTTTTTTTTTTTTTGGAGGGGTTTTTGCTACAGGGCGCGTGCGCTCGCCAGAAAGACAGAGACAGACAGAGAGACAGAAAGCGAGAAATC